TATCATACTTCTCCGATACAGATTTTATAATTTTATATGCATATTCAGTAGGTCTGAGAATCGGTTACTATCTATTTTTCATACCCCAAGTGATAAGGGTCGTCCACCCCTAACACTTTCATTTATTTTTGGATTTTTCTTTATAATGTGGCATTAAAAACTACATACAAACCTAAATTTTTACCTTTTTATCACTAACACCTATTTCTTAATCACGATTTTAATTTATATGGCAAAACAACTTTTGTGGGTCATCTAGTATCCATATATATCTAAATATAAACACATACCATACCTTATTCTAATATATATCACTTGATATTATTAGGCTTGTTACCATTTTCTACTGTGTTAACATTGTGTACATCATATCCTTAGTAATTAAGATGTTTGCCATTCGGTAATAGTACGAACATTTGTCTAGATAACAAATAGTCGGATGCGTGCTTTATTGTAGTAAATAAAGGAGAAATTATCACTTTAGAACATCCAGTCGACGAGCATTTCAACTCTTAAGCTATCTGGTCTCACGATAGTATCCACTTTTATGGACCCAACGTTAAGTAGTCATGAATCTTGTTACAAAACAGGGAAATGGATTTAGTGTTGGTTTGTCACTCGTAAAAGCAATATCTTTCACTCGGAAACTGATGAAACGTCCCTTACTTTCACCTCATGTCCCATGCAAAGTGTTTACACTTTAGATTTGAAATTTTAGTGTCATAAGTATAGATATCACTTATCAATATACATTCCATGTGTTGGAAAGTGCCCTGTTATAAGTAATATTTATTTAATAATTCTATGTTACTAATGACTTTATTTACATTTCACTGCACAAGATTGGAGTATGTACATATGTAAACACCATCTACTGGTCATTAAACGACAATTATATGTATAATATCTAAATGTACATAATATGTATTATTTCATTATTTAAAAGAATATTCAAAATTAATTATTTAATTTCTTTGGTATTTTCCCAGTTTTCTATTGCGTATTCAATTACCTATATATTCTATGAAAATTCATCATAATTCCTCAAGCTATTTTTATGGGAAACTATAATACAAATAAACAGTTGATAACTCGTCACAACTTTATATACAATGATAATAAAGATAAGAAAAAAGATAATTAAACAAGAAAACCATAAACAATTATATTAAAATTTTAATTACATTATATTTGTAATTATATTATTTAATATAATTTCTAAAAATAATTAATCATGCTTCCATAACATGTCTATTTTTAGTAAATGTATTATAAGCTATTTGGAATACCTTTACAGCATCCCAACTCGTATTGAAGCTTTGAGTAAAAATGTTTTCATAGGTACACCTTTGAAGATCCGTTGAAATAATATTGTAACATTCTATATAAAGGAATATAAGAATATATGAATAAAATATATATATATATATATATATATATATATATATATATATATTTATATTTATTTATATTTTATATATATATACATTATTTATATATGCACCCTGGGGAGGTATGTGACATCTGAGATACAGTATAATTTTATACTAGTTCAGATGGCACAATTATACTTGTATGTTAAAATTGTATTGACTCTTATGTACAACTTAATTATGTAACACAACCTATAACTGCAATAAATATTATTATTATTATTATTATATTATTAGTATTTATTTATATTTAAGTATCTGTCTATCAATTGCTTAGGTCCTATAATTTAAGATCTGCTTAGTTTAGGACTAGATGGCGTTGCGTAAATTGTCTTCGATTATTATTACAGTTTCGAAAAAGTTACAGCAAATCAAAACGGATTCAAAACATAATAGTTTATACTTTCCTAGTATTTCCTAGATAAAGTCCATCATAATGACGTTTTGATAGTTGTTTCGTGTTGGCAAACTTTGTACGTTTCGAAACAAAATTTTATCCCGTCTCTGCGAAGATACAATTTTGAGGCAACAAGGTTTAGAAGCAATTTTCAACTATTATTTCCTCTGAAATTGTCGTTTTATACTGCATGTAAACTGTGATGGCAGATTTTCACGTTGTAAAGGACGACACGAAAGAATTTTATTATTTAAGACGTCTTGCATGATGAAGTTATTTCAGATTTATTTTATTTATTTACTGGCTAACCCCTCAAACGTTTTTGCTCTATAAATTTAAATCGCTATTATAAAATAGGGGTTGATGGTAGAAGTAGCACATTATAAAAAATTAAAAAAATTGCCCAAAAATACTACAACAGGGTGGACAACCCTTATAACTTAGGGGTATGAAAAGTAGATAGTAGCCGACTCTCAAATCCTATGATATATATATCCTGCATATAAAATGTCATAAAAATCGGTCAAGTCGTTTCGGAGGAGTACGGTAACTAATATTGTGACACGAGAACTTTATATATAAGATGAAATAGTTTCAATCTTAAACAAATGTTTGTCAAACTCAGAAGTTTCAATGCATTTTATTAATGTATATATCTATGATATATTTATAATCTAATATGCAGCAGCAGCGAAGATACTCGGTTCAATTTCGTTTGTTATCGGTGTATCCATCACCGGAGAATCATTCTCAATTATAATTTTTTTAGTAGCGGCCAGATCGGAACTCACGTTGTATATAATAGTAATCATCATCATCACCTTTATTTGTCCCAAATAATAAACTAATTGCTGCTTATAATAAAATTAAAAGGTTTTAATAAAGGCCGCAATGAGTCCAATCTCTATGATATTCTGTTATAGCCTGTATTTGTAAATTATTACGTTAAAAAGTCAACGACGATGATAGTATTTAAGTTCAACACTGTCCTCTACTAACAAAGTAAACATAATAATAATAATTCAGGACAATTCACACAGCGCCGTCTAGTCTCAAGCTAAGGAGAGCTTGTGTTATGGGTCCTAAATAATTGATACAACATAGAAGCTTATTTTATTTGCAAATGCATACATAATATACACAGAAAACGTCTAGACCAATACATATAATCATACTCATCGGGAAATCGAACCCGTGACCTTCGGAAGTAAAGCGGTGTTGTAAACCGCTAGACCACCGAGGCCGTCATAATAATTTGACAATAACAAAATTAAATCACTAGGCCACGAGAATGTTCCAACTATGTTTATTTGTCCCTCAGTTCAGCCGACCTTACGTTACAATATTATATGATATAATATTATTCCGGTCAATGTACCGTAGACATTACGCGAGCGCTTTCTCGCTTATCAGCCAGCTAATAGTCTCACGACCTAATACACATCGGATCTGGGCCAGCAAAAGTATATGCAGAGGAATAAATCTTTGCCGAACATTTACTATGATTATAATTCTGTATAATTTACTTTATGGAGCCCGAGTAAATATTTAACGATACCTTAATGCTTTATTACAGTTATATATTATATTTTTTTTATATTAGAATTGTGTTTCAGAAAAGAGAAATCCATTATTCACCACCAAGGTTACTAAATGGCTCAAACCATTTGATCGCCTTAATGGATTTTTGAGATTTAGAACCTCGCCATACTTCTTATGTTCGCGAATGCGATTCCTGAAACATACAAACATTTGTATTCATTATTTATATTGGTAGGGGTATTTCCTATGTGTATCATGTATGTATTTATAAAATAAGTGTTTTAATTATAGTTATCAGTTCTTTAATACTCATGGTACAAGCTCTGCTTAGTTTAAGACTAGTTGACAGTATGTGAATTATCTTGCGATTATTATTATTAGTTTACCACATAAATATAATATTAAAGACATAGTGTCATCAAGTGACTCATTATAATTTCTGATATACTTATCAGAAATTATAATGAGTCACTTGATGACGACACCTTACTAGGTGTCGTACCTTAGTATCCTGTAACTTATAGTAGTTCAGAATTTCTAAGTTATGTAATGAAAAGGTATATAATGTCATATTGCTGCATCAAATCAAACCAATATAAAATTGTATAGAAATTTCCAATTTTTACTACTTGCCCCAAGTTGGCCAATATTCCCAGGATTTTCAGCGTTGGAAATTCCGACTAGACCGTGTTTATTTTTAGCTTACATTTTGTTAGTGCTAGCTAAATTAATCCAATTCTGAGTGTATACGGATCTAGTATTCATAGAAAATGTTAGCACTATATGTTCGTTGCCTAGTCACGTAGTACCAGGAGAGAAGTGGCATGAAAGTTTAAGATTTTTACTACACTAAGTGCGATGCTCGCTGGGGAAAACTGCCTGAGCGGGTAGAACGAGATAGAAATTCTTCAGTTTGTTATATCTTAGTTTTCTGACTGAAATACGTAGGTATATTTTATGTGAACGTACGTAACGTGTATTCTTTTTTAATTGTTATTTCCACTTATCTAGGTGCTTTAATCTAAGAATTTTCAATTGAGTAAAATCTTATATTGTCAAAGTTTTCTATTCTAAAGTTGTCAGAATAGTAATCCTGGATTATTTACACAGCGCCATCTAGTCCTAAGATAGGCAAATCTTGTGTTATGGATATACAACTGACAGAGATACTTATTTCTTCTTATAAATATATTTATTTTTCTTATATATAATATAAATAGAAAACAGCTATACGAATACATATAATCATGAATAACACTCGCATCGTGCCGGGAATGAAAGAAGGACTATCTGAAATAAAGCAGCGTGCTAATCCGCTGGACCAATGAAGTCGTATTGTTATTAATACTTAATAACTTTGCTAATTCTGGACTAGTTGATAATATGTAATTTGTCATATTGATTTTATGCCATGTATACTAAATAAGAACAGTATAGAGTAGGGTATTCGTGCAGTACTTAGTAGAGAACATTTCTTTTATCTTACTGGCCTTCATTAATTGCAAGTACACCTGATTCCATTACCTTGGAGTATCTAGGTAACTGTGTCCCATAGTCCAATTACTAACAATCTTATCCCCCAAAACAGAAAACTCAATTTGCAATAAAAAATGTAATTTTGTCTACAGGTGTGGTTGTGATGACATGGTGGTGGGCGATCGCGCTGCTAGCGCTAGCGACGCCCGCCCTCCCCGCACCCAGGGCGGGCAACGGTGAGCTATTTTACAGTAAGCATCACTTGCGCACTCTATTTCCCCGCTCGACACCGTTAAAAACGCAGCGGACACGCAGCACAACCGCAGCGGGCACGCAGCGTTTTTGTTGCGATTGAGCTGCGATTTTAACGGTGTCGGATCTATTCACTAGCACCATATTAATGGTGAGTATATGGTACATATCGGGGCTTTAGAGATAATTGAATCACAGTATCAAATAATAAAATAATCACTTAATTTCTGTCTATTGGCACAAGACGGTGTTGGAGTTATTATAAAACATGTTACACTTACATTAAATAGAAAAATTATTTCAGGCTATCGACATATTCTAAAAATATTTATATTCAGTGAAATTCAGTAATTAAAAAATATCACTGTTAAAATAATAATGTGATATTTTTTGAAATTACTATTTAAATATTTCTGATTTGGAATTTTCATTAAAATTTTCCTGATAATCCTGGAACTTTCTTATCTATATTTAAAGACAAAAAATTAGAATTTAATTAATTCAGAATATTTAAAATTTTGTACTTACTACATTTTCGCAATAGAATAAAACAATGCAACAAAGATGGAGGTTTACAAACCATTCGTTCGCGGTTTCTTATCTCGGATTGAGTCGTAAATCCAGGATTATACTCCGTTCTTTTATTACCCATAGACACTCTTGAAGGTGCTCTTTCGGACCACATTTCTGTAATAATGTTTTATTTATTTAAATGATAAATAAAAGTAACGAAACATTCACTTTTTTAATGAAATTAGAATGGTGATGACTGTAATGATTTGAGTAAGTGAGTAACTGACGATAAGTGATAATGGACGCCTATATAAACGAATGGCAAATTATCATGTGACGTTCGTAATACCATACATGCGTTGCTGCTATATTATTATTAAGGACTATATAATAATATATATATTCTTCACATTTATCAACCGAGAAAGAGCTTACAAAGCATGATGCTCGGCGGCTTAAATTGCTAGACACAAGAACCCATGCAGGACACATTTTGAAGTCTATCTGTGTGACATGGTCTGATTCTGTAAATTTATGCACTCAAATCTCAGAAAGGGTTCAATCTGTTGATGTTTTTTATTAAACTCCACGTAACATTTAGTATTTGTTTCATGCTGTATTTCCCAATCTCAACATATAAATTGCGGATTATTCTCGTTACTTTTAACTTGCATAAAAATTGCAAGAATAGCTATAGTTCAGTTTAAAAATAATTTTCATTATATCAATTTAATTTACATTGTTTCTGATTCCATTTCTTTTATTTTATTGACTTTCCTGCACGAATTAGTATAGTTTATAAGCACTTAAACTTGTTTGTCCGTAAAATAGACACTAGTAATCACCTAATCCATGTTTAATGCTCGGATTGACAGAGTTAACGACATATCTCATAAAACTTTAGGCCGCTTTACGACTTGTATGTACGTACTTCAATTTTAAATTATATGTATGCGAGGGTCTTTATTTTATAGCTGATATAAAATATTCACATATGAAAGTTTTATGAACGTTACGATTCAGTAAAATGAAACTGGCGAAAGCTTTGTTTAATGAGAGTCGAGCGGCGCGTGCGTTTTATGGGTTAATGTATGAGAAATTACATTAAACGGTTGGTTAATTAATTATTAAATATTTACTTGAATATGTTTTAATACGATTGTTGATCTAATTATGTTTTAATGCGTAATAATTCCAAAATCTGGATCAATTATTTTTATTTTAGTGTATTAGGTATTCTCTTGCCTAATTTGTTAAGTATTGAGATAGATTTATATTTCCGGTACCAGGACTGTTTACATTATCTTATAGATGTGAGTCAGTAAATCACATTCTGAACATCAAATGTTCAATATTTGATTATCAAGTTTTGATTAATCAATTGGAAGGTAATGACTTATTTACAGGCAAAAGACGTGTTGCAGTCGTAAATTTCATTAATAGTTTGAGTTTATGCACCATTATAGATAGAACCTCTTGTGCTAGTAAACTGAAGATTAGTCCTACACGCGTAAAGCATACATATTTTAAAGATGCCAATGCTAGCGGAAATAACATCTACTGGTAGAAAATGCCGCAAAATGTAGTATAACATTTATATTGTGTGCATTAAAGTTATATATCAGATTTGAAATTATAATTAACGTTTACCACTTAATGATTGAAACCACTATAACCTTCCATATTCTCATATTGAGAATATTAATGAATTTGCATTAGTTATTTCATTTACTATCCCTATATGGTGAAATAACAAACAGTAATATGAAACACGAGTATCTCACAGATATAGGAAATTCTATACTTATTATTCGTTGCTTTTAGTCGTGTAAATAGTAGATGGAATTGGAGTGTTTTTATATCCTAAAAAGATTGTTGGTCAAAACACACTTACTGGGAAATACGTCAGCTGTATTCGAAATACTTATTACATAACAGATTATTGTATTTAATACAACCAAAGCTATCATTATTGAAAAACAACGATTTGTTTTTCAAGACTGCCAAATAAAAGGTATTTTCTGTAAGGGAATTTCTCAGAATAATATAAAGTGCTGATTTAAGCACAGTTAAATTATTTACGTTATTGTAAACGAAGTCATTTTTAAAATGGATATAAAAATGGAAGATTGCTGTTTTCTTCTGATGTTGATGAACCAGTTCTTATCCGCGACTTTGTCTGTTTAACTATAATAAATCGGAATAAACATAAGCCTAGAACATATTCTGTTATCCAACCAGCCTACAACATTTTCTTCTTCAGATTTTTTTTATGAATACAATAATTATTACGCGTTATTCTCGTAGGATTTTTTGACGTGTTTATTCAACAATGTAATGTAACATTGTCTAATAGGTTTGTTTGTGTTTAAGTTACGGCCTTCCCTCGAGGAATTTATACAGATAAAGGAGAGGCAATCTATCTTCAAGTTACCTTTATTTATTTTTGGGACAAGGAATATATCCCCTAGACTTACGAGGGTCTTGGTATATTTGAATAATAGAGCAATATTTTCCGGCGTGTGACTTGTTACAATATTACGTAATTCAGAAGCAATATTCTACTAATTCGTAGTAATACTATATATGTGAAAATCTGTCTATTTATTTTCTTGAATAAACGCCTTAAAAAGTCTGAATTTAATTTTGATGTGAAGATAGGACGGATATAGGTATTTATTTAAAAAAAACGGATTAATTAACGGGTAACAACTAGTATAAAGACAATAGTTTCTAAGGATATATGAATGGACGTTTAGATGTTTGTTACTTATTCATTCTAAAAAACAGAACGAATATTTGATTGAAATTTGATACAAAGATAGATAGATCATATGCTAGATTAACATATAGTTTACTTTTTATGCAAAGTTACGCGGGCAGTCTAGTAGGATTTAGTTAGTCAATAGAATAAAATAAAAAATGTGCCGCCTCTGTGAATTATTATCGAACCACTTAGCTTGAGGCGGGACTTCGCATCGCTTTGTGTATTCTACCGAAAATACACGGACTGTGGTCTGAAGAATTGTTCGACATGATGCCAGAATAGCCCACGGCTACTTTTTACTATCGTACCGTTCGCTATCGACAGGGAATTCATTCCAACACGCTGGAACCTAAGTGATCTCGGACAGTGTGGTTTCAGAGGAGCTTCCTCCCGCTTACACTTAGATTGTGAAATGAACTACCTCTCAAACTTATCTCGGTGTTTTTCAAGAAGGATTTATAAATGTTTCTTAAGGGTCGGTTAACTTGTGTACCGTATGACCACGCTGTCCAATGTATATTTGCAAGCTTCCTATTAAACTTCCTACATTAGCTGTTTATTTTAAAACAAAAAAAAACCTATTGTTATTCCGAAAACCTCGCTTACGAAGACGGGGTCACAGCTATTTTTTCCCTTTTTCGTAAAACGAGAAGGTTGTTATAGCATTATAGGTTTTTGTTTTAATAATTAATGATGCGTGTACCTTTTAATGGGGCACTGGATCAAATTCGTGATCCGATTAATTCACGTAATAACCCTTTGTTAATTTACGTTGGTTTATGTTTTAGGTTGTATTTTTCGACACATTTTAAAAGAGCAAGTTCGGGATTTTTTTGGTATGAGATTTTGTCGTGAATTATGAACGGGTTTTAAAATTGAAAGGTTTTTTACAGTAAAAATACTATGTCTCATTGTAATTGAATCATATTTTGATTATGGGACGTAAGAATATTACATACATTAACATGTTCACTGACACATGTTTTTTTACATATGTATATTATTAATTTACATTCATTTGATGTTCTAATATTTTAGGGTCTTGATTATTTTAGAGGGTACTTATTAAACGTTTTTTATTACATGTATAATATTATAATAAAAATGTCCCTTCTTGTAATTCAGTCTATCCTTCTACGAAATTTTATGACTAGCAATCTAATGAATTGATAAATGAATGAAAATTCTTACAGAAAAAACAAATATTTAAATAGACTGTTATGAACAAATATATATATAGACAAAGAGGCAATCATGGGCGGCCTCATAGCTGAAAACAGATTTTGTCCAATCTTTAATCGATTAAAATATCAGTAAAAACGTTATAAATAATTTATATATAAGTAAATTTATTTTCCATCTAATTTATAATATGCATAAGGATGTCGGTCAATGTTAAAGTCGGTCAACGTTGTAAAACATATAGATCCCTATACATACATCCAGACCCGCCTATTAGATGATTCAATCAAAGTCGGACGCCTCGTAAAATGTGGCCACTTATCTCACCCACGTGTCAGACCATAAAAGATAAGGTAGGAGCGAGACGGCCGATAGTAAAAGCGAAGTGGTTTCACTTTCATACAAATTACCACCTGGCCAGACTGACAAAACGTTTACAAGTGACATGTGGCCCTTTGAACGCAGGGTCACTGTGTTAACGATGTTCGGAGGACAGTACTTTTAAATTTGAATAGTATTTACGTATTTTATTTTACA